GAGAGAGAGAGGGGGGGAGAAGGAAGAAAGGAACGATTATCTGGAAAGGAAAGACGTCGCTATAATCAAACAGCCACAGGAACAATCAGTATGGATACCTTGCGGACTTTGGTGCTGAGAGGAACTGAGCACTTATGGACCTGTCCGTGTGCAATGACATTGTTGCCCAAGACAGGTAATACAGGTGTTACAAATGGCTTCTTTCTAAAGTTTCGGATTGTAGCTTCAGATTGTGGGACTAAGGGAGGAATTTGTGAGTCCTCGAGGTTCTGTGAAAAGTCAGAGAAAACTGACAGCGTCTCTTAATATCAAGATTTTCCTTTTCTCCCTTTCTCCCTTCCTCCCTCCCTCCCTCCCTTCCTCTCCCCTCCCCTTCTCTCTCTCTCTGTCTCTCTCTCTCTTTCTCTGTCTGTCTCTCTGTCTCTCTCTGTCTCTCTCGGTATCTCTCTCTGTCTCTCTCTCTGTCTCTCTCTCGGTCTCTCTCTCTGTCTCTCTCTCGGTCTCTCTCTCTCTCTCGCTCTCTCTCTCTCTCTCTCTCTCTGTGTGTGTGTGTGTGTGTGTGTGTGTGTGTTCTTCTTTCTATTTCTCAGTATGATTCTTCATTCTAACCAAGCCATCAGTCCTTTATGTCTACCATACATCGTGGGTGGTTGGCGGGTGTTCTGGTGTGGTTTGCTTCTTCTTTTCTATCAAACATCTATCGTCCTCATCTCCCCTTCTTCTTTTTTATGTTTGTTACTCTCTTGTAACACCTTTAGTCTTCATTCTGGCGCTCATATGACCTTATGCAGTTGCGAGCGCCGTAAAACCTCTACTAAAACTAAACTACCACACATCATATTCCTTGTACTCTGGTACCCCATTCTCTGACACTCACTTGGACTTGACCGTTATATTCAAGGACATGAAGGTTGCCAGGTTGGCGGGGTCGTTGAGGTAATCGGCAGCTTGCCAGGCCACGGACCGGAAGAAAGATTTCACTTCCGGTGTTTCCTCCAGCTCTTCATCAGAGGGGACTTCTATCTCGAAGAACTGGGGACAGGAAAGGAACATTCTAAAACTCATAAAGGAACGTTCTAGAACTCAAAAAAACACATTCTAGAACTCATAAAGGAACATTCTCTAGAACTCATAAAGAACATTCTAGAACTCATAAAAGAGCATTCTCTAGAACTCATAAAGAAACATTCTAAAACTCATAAAGGAACATTCTAGAACTCAGAAAGTAGCATTCTCTAGAACTCATAAAGGAATAATCTACAACTCAGAAAGAACATTTTCTAGAACTCAGAAAGGAACATTCTAGAACTCATAAAGGAATAATCTCTAGAACTCATAAAGGAGCATTCTAGAACTCAGAAAAGGAACATTCTAGGCCTCATAGTTCAAGTGAGAGAAATCAATTCCTGTTAATCTGAATTTTTCAAGTAGTATGTTTTAATTTCAGAACGTGAAGTTTCTAATATGAAAAGGGGCTTTTGAACGCAGTCCTGTCTTAAGGGGGGGGGGGGGGGGGGCTACACCCCCCAAAATCAAAATTCGGCTCAAAATCATGGAATTTGAGTTGTAGGCATTCTTAGCTTCCTCAATCTCTCCTACAACTATTTCATGGCATAAGAACCCCCAAAAACTGTATTTTTTCCCATACCGGGCATGTTTGTAACCGCCATTTCCTCATAAAGTTAGTATTTTATTTTTCTTTATCGGCCGTTTTCTCAAAATGCGACTTTTCTCTATACTTTTTTTAATAACTCCACCATTTTTC